CTGAAAATTTTTTTCCGATCGGTCCATAAATGGTCATAGCTCCCCTTCTGAAAATCACTTAAACGCGCATAACTCATTACTAAATTAAGATATCAATATAAAATTTGGCACAAGTATTACTCATATGCACAGAAATATTACTGTGAACATTTTTTTCGATCGGTCCATAATTGGTCATAGCTCCCATACAAGGTCCCCTCCCGAAAATCACTTAAACGCGCATAACTCATTACTTAATTAAGATACCCATATGGTACAAATATTACTCATATGCACAGAAATATTACAGATAAATTTTTTTCCGATCGGTCCATAACTGGTCATAGCTCCCATACAAGGTCCCCTCCTGAAAATCACTTAAACGCACATAACTCATTACTAAATTAAGATATCCATATAAAGTTTGGCAGAAATATTGCTCATATACAGAGAAATATTACTGTGAAATTGTTTTCCTATCGATCCATAATTGATCATAGCTCCCATACAAGGTCCCTTTCAGAAAAACACTTAAAGGCACATAACTCATTACCAAATAATGATATAAATAAATACTATTTTTGTTCATAAATACTATTTCGTAATGTTATTTCAAAAATTTTTCACGATCGGTCTATATTTGGTCATATTTCTCATACTAGGTCCTGCCCCTAAAAGCGCTTTAACCGTATTTAACTATTTGCATTATCAATTTGTGTAGAACAAAATTATATACAGTAGCGAGCACAAAAATTGCAACGCGGGGTCATATGATCTTTGATTTTGTCTGATTCGAAACAACGGTAATCAATCCATCTCTTCTTTTTGCTGTTTATTCTCTTAACTCAGAGCTTCCAAATAAGCGACATTTTATTTCAATTTCTATTACGCAAAGTGAAATATTTTATATTTGCTGGAAAAAGTGAACTTTTTTCGCGAGCACAAAAAATGCAATGCAATGAAATAACAGTAAATTTATGATTTTTATTGCGTTTTGAATGAAAGTTTCTTGAAGAAATTAAACAATACGAATATTATAATAGTAGTAATTATTATCTAATCAAAAAATAACTATTATTAAAGCTCTATAGGATAAGAATTCATGCTTCAAATTGGTTTGTTTTTTGAGTGAAAAATTTGACGTAAATCGATCTGTATTACGATTTCACCTGAGAGAAAGCGTGGAAAGGTAACAGATAGTGGTCATTTTTGGAAAACTACCACTTTTAGAGACCGTCACATGATTAAATTGTTCAAAATCGCCTCACGAAAGATGTCAGTGGACGTTGCTGGTTTCACAAAGGAGCATATGGGTGACTCTATTGGAGTTCAAATTGCCCGCAGAAGGTTTAACAAAGTGTAATTTGCTTGGAAAATGATTCACAAAGAAATCCCAGATTAGTAGAGTCAATAAAAAGTACCGCTTTGAGTTTGAGAAATGTGTCAGGTGGTACTGTAAATGCTTGACATATAATCAGTGATTTCATTGCGAAAATCTCGCTTCTTGAACCACTCAAAAATGGATTTTTCGACATATGTGACTATTAGACGAATATATTGTCTTTGTCTAGGCCATCTAGTAAAAAAATTTATGGTATCGGAGCCAAATAAATTTTATTTGCTCACGTCGTCACATAAGACCTTAACCCGCTGTTCACTTGACCAATGCTGATACGTTTCGCAAAATAACGGGGCTTGTTTTTCTTGACTCTACTGATGAATGGTTCCTTAGTAAAATGTTTTCCAAGCAAATTACACTTTATTAAAACGTCCGCGAGCAATGTGAACTCCAATAGAGTCACCCATATGCTCCTTTGTGAAACTAGCAACGTCCACTATCTTCTTTCGTGAGCCGATTTTAAACAATTTAATCACCTGACGGTCTTTAAAAGTGGAAGTTTTCCATAGACAACCACTATCTGTTCCCTTTCCATGCTTTTTCTGAAGTGAAATCGTGATTCATATCGATTTACGCCAAATTTTTCACTCAAAAGAACGAACCAATTTCAAGCATGGATTCTTATTCTCTAGAGCTTTAATAATAGTTCTTTTTGATTAGATAATAATTACTACTATTATAATATTCGTATTGTTTAATTTCTTCAAGAAACTTTCATTCAAAACGCAATAAAAATCATAAATTTACTGTTATTTTATTGCGTTGCATTTTTTGTGCTCGCGAAAAAAGTTCACTTTTTTCAGCAAATATAAAATATTTCACTTTGCGTAATAGAAATTGAAACAAAATTTCGCTTGTTTGGAAGCCCAGAGTTAAGAGAATAAACAGCAAAAAGAAGAGATGGATTGATTACCGTTATTTCGAAACAGACGAAATCGAAGATCATATTGTCACGCGTTGCATATTTTGTGCTCGCTACTGTATGTATGTATTTTGAAAATCCTTAAATCTTTCACACACATGCAAATACTAGATATCGCTAAAGCATATCTTATGGCGCTATAAAAATTTAAAAGAAAGTGGCATTTCTAATGTTCAATAAATCTTGTAGTAGATTTACGCCCTTATTCACAAACAACATTTTTATTTTATAAAAGGTTTATAAAACAAAATTTCTATACAAAGTCCAATTTATAAACCGTTTATAAAATAAAAATTTTGTTTGTGAATAAGGGGGTTAAGCTGTTTAAATCTTGGGATTTTTATATTTATAACATGAGAAAACTTATTTCTACAAATATTTTATTAATTAGAAATGTATTAATACAAAAGTTGCTGGTGGAGGGTATTTAAGATTCGGCTCAGCCGAATATAGCACTCTAACTTGTTTTATTATTTCGGTATCATTCACCTTAAGCTCAGTAATTTTGAAGTTTTTTTGTATTTATTACAAGTGTTTTGTATTTTTAAAAATACTATACACACAATTTACTGCATGTATATTTACAAATCAACAATTATTTAGTGTTATTAATTTATTTTATTGGAATTTTGATGACCCAAGAGAAGAAATTAAATTGGATGATAACGCCAATGAGGAAAGTATTTTATTAGTTCCCGACAATAACTCTGCTGAGAACAATATTGAAGCCTCAAAAGCGCTGTTATTGAAAAAGCCGTAAGAATCATTTTACAATGTAATAAACATCGATGTTAAATGATGGGTTTTTAATAAGTAAAATGATATTTATATACATATGTATGTATGAACTGTTAATTTTGAAAGTAGTGTGACTCCACATTCCAAACAATGGGTTTAAGGATAACTATTCTAATTTTTAATAGAAAATTATAAATTAGAGAATTGTGGTATATTCCATTCAAGTTTCTAATAAAAGTTTTATGTAATCTGAACATTTTAATACATTTTGGAACACATATGTAAATTGCAAATTGTTTTTGGCACACATCTTTTTAAAAACATTAAAATTTAAAACCTTCTACATATATCTCATTTCAACCATTGGACTCACGATACTTTCAAAATTAACAATTCATATACGTAAATATGTCCCTTTTATGCCTGTTTATGTACAAGAAATTTATTTAAAATAATACACATTTATTATATTTTGTTCCGTTATGTAATTTTTCATGAAAAATAAAACAAAAATAAATAAAATCCAATATTTTATGTGTATTATTTGAATTTAAACATACAAAATGTGTTGTTCAATAATACGAATTTTTCGGTATAACGAAAGGGCCTGACACTATATAATTCGTACTAGTGGACGTCCACTGTATATGAATTTATTTTTTGAGGTTATGAAATCTGTATTTAGGTCGTAAAATTGTATAATATTTTAAATTATTTTAATGTGCGATTTTAGCATAATGCAAAATGAAAGCTTTTATTTGACACTAATATTTACGCAATTTATTTGGCGCTATAGTTGTCTGAAAGCAAAATGTTTTTCAGATAAACGCTGCTAGGACCGCTATAAATGAAGAAATTTAATTTTTCTTTCGCAATATATTTTACTGAAAAAAAAATTACAAAAATTTTGGATCGCGTCTTTATTAAAAATTACAAAGAAAAAGAAATTTAAATTTTGCAAAAAATTTAAAATGATAATAAAAAGTACGCATTTGCAAACTTTTTAATGAGCATTTGATTTTGACAACTTTATTAGTAAATAACTATGAATGTCACATTTTTAAAAAATGTACGGATATTTTTGTCAAATTTGTAAAGGTCCTGCTCTGTCCTTAGATCTCTGACATCAACAAGATATAAATTGCGTGAAATTACTACACCTATTAAATACCGTTACTTAAATTTAATTTGATTAATGCGCGCACATGGACTATTCAAAAAACTAACAAAAATAAAAAAACGAAAAATGTTGGTTTCATTTGTTTACAACCGTAATGAAATTATTATAAGGATTTTTAAATGTCCAAAGTCTTGTGACTCTTGTTTATAAAGGATGGCTCTGTAAGTTATGAACTAAGAGTACAGTTTTGAAATTTATGAAAAAACTCTGGTAAATTTCAAAGCATTTTTTTAATTTTTAAATGTTCATAAAGTTGAGAGATAATAAGCTAGTGGTCTGAAATTATGGATATACATGTGTTTTGGTACATTATACCGAAATGTATCAAAACATTTACTTATTTTAAAAGATTAACGCAAATACGAGGCCTTTTAATTCAGTTTCATCGATTCTTAAAAATATTTGATTTTGCTCATATATAAACTCCGGTCCTCCACCATCAGTTGATTGACTGTATGTAGAAAATAGTGTCTAGTTTTGAAATGTATGTAAATCCTTTAATAAAATAGTAAGAACTCATGGATGTACCTTTCTTTACGTGTTTACATAATTATATATAAATCTTTTTGGAATTCCTCCAAAGCAAGTTAAATAAATACGATTTGTTGACAACAAAGTGCGTTGGCCATTACACTCTTCGATGCGTCCGGACAATTTGAGAATGTTGCTATGGATTTTCCTGGTTTTATTGATTTAACAATTTGTCAACATTTAAAAAGCGTGATTTCATTGTCTATTTAACTGAATATGTATATGGAATCACAAAAGTGCTATAGTAAAACATGAGTAAACTGGATGACTTACTCGCTAAGAAAAAAACTGTTGTGCCTGTTTTAGATTTGAGCAGAAATGTTGTACAATCTAGTGAGGAGCTTAAACGTCTTATGGAAAAGGTTCCTGAATACAAGATGAGACCCATCAAAGTTAAAGCAGAAGATATCAAGACTAAAGATAAGGATTTTTCGTTTAAATTGAGCAAGAAAGAGGCGAAAAAACTTTTAAAATCGAACGGTGAACGAGATCCAATGTATGTATATGCAGATCCAGTTCCAATAGAAATGAAAGAAGTTGTATTATATGACCTCTGCGTTGTTCCAATTGATTGGAAAATGCTAACTACATTAAGGCCAAAATCAAAAATTGAAGAGGAATATTTTTCACGCATGGTTGAAATGGGTAAATTACAATTGAAGACAGAACAACGAGACAGGAGAGAATTTATGCTCAATAACGGTGTAAAAAAGTTAAAAAACAAATCTGGAATTGTGGAAACTCGTCTTCAGACTTGTACTGACTGTGGCGAAGAATTATGTTCTGGTATGATAATTAAAAATAATATTGTTTTCATTTTTAAATTATCCACAATAATTTAAAATTATGTATTTGCAGGGAAAACTTGCACTGAATTTAGTTACGATTTATTTGTAAGAGTAGAGCCAAAATATCCTAAACCCAAGCCTGCTGCAAATGTGATCAATAAAGGAAAACTTAATGGACATAAACGTATAATAAATGGCCCACGAAACAAGTCAAAGAAAAATCCTAAATAAATTAAATTCAAACAAGTCCTTATAAATTATAGTCGGATATATTGAATAAATCACATTATTTATTGGTGAATAACTGATTAACTGAAATGATATTTATGTACATGGAACTAGGGTCAGGTTTTAGCGATTTAAAAAAAAATTAGGTCGCTCATACTTTCGTGTGTGGCTTCAAAGTTAAGATAAAGATTTCCTTAACAGCCGTCTTGCGGCCGGTCGCAATAACTTTCTACTCTATGGTATGTCCAACAACGGCTTCGCTTAATAAATATTTCTTAAATAGCCGGACTACGGCGGGACGCAAGGTAAAAAAAATTTCCTAAAGAGCCGGCCTAAGGCCGTACGCTCTTGATACAGGGAGAGTGTATTCTTAGCGAAGCCGGTGTCCATTATACCCCAGAGGATAAAATACTTGCGACCGGCCGAAGGCCGGCTATCATAAATTTGTTATTTCGTGTAATAAAAGTAATAAAATGAAATAACTCCCCAAAAATATTTTTAGGGATTTATTTAATTTTCGAATTTTCAGGAATTATTTCATAATGAAATAACTCCCCATTTTAAATGTGAAACAATGCCCCAAAAAGCGAATTAAATTCCCAAATTTCGTTCTGAACAAAGGGACATTGTATGGGAGCTATGACCAATTATGGACCGATTGGAAACAAATTTCACAGTAAAATTTCTGCATATAAGAACAATACTTGTACCAAATTTTATATGGATATCTTAATTAAGTAATGAGTTATGCGCGTTTAAGTGATTTTCGGGAGGGGACCTTGTATGGGAGCTATGAACAAAAAATAAATTTTTCGTCGAAAATTTGAATTCTTTTTGTTCATCAAAGAATTGCTTTTTATAGAGATGGGAAAAGAGTAAATACTCATTTGGTAAATACCCGGTAAAATGGGAAAATTGATAAATACCCGGGTATTTTGCAAAAATGTGGGTATAAACTAAAATTTTGTTTTGCAAACTAATTTTGCATCCAAAAATCATTTATATTCATAACCAGGACAAGGATTTATATGCAAATGCATGTTTGTAGTCAGTAACTCAAAATAACTTTTAAGTAGTTTTCTTTTCGAATCAAGGAATTTGCAACAAAATGGGATCGATTTGTTGTTGCATATTTTGTTATAATTGCATAAATTGCATATTTTGCTTTAAAATGCATATATTTTGTAAATTTTTAAAATTTTTATAGCATATTTAGCATATTTTTTAATTTTTCGAACACAAATTATGTTTTTTTTGTATATTTCAAATTCAAAAAAAAAAGTAATAATAATAAATTTAAAAAATTGTAAACAGTTAAGAAATATCTATCTAAATTTCTTTGGGCAATTTTTCCAGGACCAATAGGTGAAAAGTTACACTCATTTGAAAAAAAGCCTGTATGACCAAAATGTCCAACTTTGATCCCCTCTAACTCTGGCATTACTTGAACGATAAAATTCTTGACTTATGTGTCTGGCCTACTATCCAATAGCACTGGTGCAAATTTCATCCAAATCGATTTTTTGAGTTGGGTTAGAATTCATTGTTTCCAAGCTTTGATCGTGATTCTGTTAAATTGGTATTAGAGTACATTAAGCAGTACCTCTGTCATCATAAACTTATATATTTGTTGTCAAAAACTTATGTTCTAAATATCTATAAAAATTTACTTAAAAACGATAAAAGAAAAATTAATGTTAATAAATAAATTTCCACATTATTAGTACATATTTTTCATTTTTTAGTGAATGAAAATCCTTGCCTTGTTCATAACAAATTTCAAAAATTGCAAATATGAGTACTATAACAAATTGTATGTCGCCTATACCTCGAAAAACATAACAAAATATTTTTTTCGTTTTTATACAAACGATATATAATAACAGCATTTGTTTTTGAAGACAAGCTATTTTTTTGCCTGGAAACTCTTATTTGAAAGGCCTTTGAAAACCCATTTATATGATATTCATATTATTACATATATACAAAACTTAGTATCGGAGATAACCCATTAACAAAATGTTCTTTATTTGTTCGCCATATTTCAGCATTTTTTAGATAGATTTTGTTAATTTTAATAAAAAACATTCCCAAAGATATGAGCGTTAGATTTGTCAAAGGTTTGGGTCCGTAGGACACCAAATTTTCCATTTAAAATGATATTTATAAATCAGAGATGGAGGTAGTGCACTAATTTTTAACTATCACTAATTATTAGTGGTAGTTCAAAATTATTAACTACTTTTATTTACGATTAGTGATGAATTGAAAAATATAAGCCTCAATTAATAATAGTGATAGTGATATTTAAAATTTTTAACTAAAAATATTTTAAAAATAGTTAAAATATTTGTTTTTACAGCCTAGTGAAATAATTTTTTCTACACTAAATTATTAGTTCAAAAAATATTCCTGCACTATTTTTTTTCAACAGAGAAATGTTTCACTCATTTGAAAGTTTAAGTTAATAGGACAGTCTAGAAATGGTTTAAGTCAACCAAAAACTCATTGGACGAATATTATTAATAAGTAAAACGTTCATTATTTACAAAGGTTCCAAGCTATTGCCTAAAAAAAAATCCAGTAACCACATCATTTTGGCAACTGGCAACGCAGATGACGTGGCAATCGAGGTACAAAATTAACCAATTAATTAAAATAAAATTTTGGAATTTAGGTGTTTCAACCATTTCTTTTTAAAGCATGAGATGTTGTTGGGGTAACTGCATATGTAGGGTCTATCATAGTGCCATCGCTAACAAAATCTGTATTTTCCATTTTAATAGATGTATCTTTTAAAAAATTGAATCATTTATTGTCTTACAAATTTTTTCATTTTTATAAAAAAACAAGTAAGAAAGTATAGTCGGGCGAGGCCGACCATATGATACCCTACACCAGTTATGAATATTAAATGTGATTTATTTTTCATAATAAAGCATTTATCTTCAATATTCCCTTGTTCCGATACATTTAAGCAATTTATGGATGAAAAACTAATTTTCTAAAAGAGGCTTTATATGGGGGCTAGGGGCAAATATGGACCAAGCCCGATAAAATTTTGTGAATATATTTATATTTACATAATATTTTATTGTGCTGAATTTCATCGCGATATTTGTGTTTATAAGTTAATTTGGGACATTCAAGTAATTTTCTGAAGGGGACTTTGTATGGGAGCTAGGGTCAAATGGGGCCCGATCTTTATGAAATTTGGCAGGGTCATCAAGACTTCTATAAAACTTAGTTGTGCCGTATATTATCGATATATCTGTATATTTAACATAATTATGAGCTCAGAAGCCCTTTTCGGGGGGTTCTGTTCTATGGGGGCTAGGTGAAATAATGGACCGATTTTAACCATTTTCAATAGGCTTCGTCCTTGGGTCAAATAAAATGTGCATGCCAAATTTCATCCAATTATCTTGAAAATTGCGACCTGTAGCTTGCGCACAAGGTTTACATGGACAGCCAGCCAGCCAGCCAGCCAGCCAGACGGACGGACATAGCTTATTGGTATACTTTAAGGTGGGTCTAGGACGAATATTTTTGTATGTTACAAACATCAGCACAAATCCAATATACCCTCCCCACTAAAGTGGTGTAGGGTATAAATAGTGCAAAGAAAATTATTGAAGCCTTTTATTAGTGACTGTTCACATTTTTAGCTATTTGAGTGTAGTGGTTTTTTCTACACTATCACTCAATTGAGTTATAGTTAAAAAAATAAAATTATCACTAAAAAATATTAGTGCTAAAAAAATAACTTCACTACCAATAAGCTCCAGAAAATTAGTGAAAAATATATTTTTTGAAATAATGTTTAGTCCTAGTTAAATATTGATTTAACTAATACTTTAGTGCACTAACCCCATCTCTGTTATAAATACCACAAAGAGGTATTAAAAATGGTATTTACCCGGTATATACCCACAATTTTCCCAACTACTGGGTAAATACCGGGTAGAATCCCGTCTACACAAATTGCAATAAAGATTGTAGAATCTTGTACACATTGAAACTATTCATTTATCGGTTTGTGAACCTACTAATTATATACAGAATTGCCAACACATTCTAACTAATATATTCGGTGAGTGTCATTGCTAACACATATTTGAATAGTACTGTATAAACATAAGAAATATTTTCGATGTTTTTACTCATGTCCCCAATCTTAAGTTAGAAGTCCGTTAAAAATCCCCATTTTATATTGTCCATGAAAAAAGAATTCTCGGTTATTACGAACAATTTTTCAAGTCTCTATATTTTGGTAACCATTTCCATAGCAAAAACATCTCTTATACGAATCATTGGATATCACAAACTGAGGAACTGAAAACCCTCAATTTCATACAATTTTTATACCCTTCACCTTCGTAAGAAGGGTATTAATGTCAAAGTGCTTTACGTGAACACATACCGTGTTGGTCTATTTCCCGGTGGTCCTTTTCAACCACTGGGTGAGCTTTTGTGACGACTGACCACCGCCCCATTGTGCTTTTTACACAAAGGTGGCAATTTACGTATATGAGCTATTTAATCTCTTACCATTGCTGCCCCGTTGCTTAACTTCCAGATGCAAATACATCACTTCCGTGTACAACCATGCAAATGGGATGGCGTCTGTAGAGGCGTAACCGGTGGACTGAAGCCGAGACCTTATTCTTAATCACAGTGACACAACATACGACAGACTCACTCTAGGTATACGGGCGGATGAGCTCCGTGACTCAAACCCAAAATCGGACATGATTTTTATTAATTTAAAATTAAATAAAAAACAAGTAAGAGTCCTATATTCGGCTGTGCTGCATCTTATATACCCTTCACCATGATGTGTTGTAGAATAGAATAGCCAGTACAAAAATTATTACAAAAAATCAAAAAATACCAGTTGTAAAACGAGAAAGTATGAGAAAGTCCCCTTTTATAGATTTTCGATCAATCAGGGTGTTGCATAACTATATAAAAATCAAAGATAAAAATCATGGAACAAACAC